AAAAAAAAAAAAAAAAAAAAAAAAAAAAAACTACAGAAAATTTAGCAGTAATCACCACTCTCCCGCACAATCACTACTATCATCACAATCATTACAATTATCATTTTGCACTACCCTCCCCTCTTCTCTATGCATTGAAATTTCTTCTGCTGTTGCTAACGACAAATCTACTATAACCAAACCAAACCAAACTACTAATAATGGACAAATTGTTATATGAAGAAACCGTTGACAACGATGAGACACAGAAATAAAGCAAAAATAACAACGTTAGTTAAAAATCAAGTGAAAGTTGATCGTAAAAAGCCCAATACTTTGAATTGTGAATGTGAATTTGCGTTTATTTGTGTGTTATTTGTGCCTATATGTATATATGCCTCTTTACATTGATTCAAAAATTACAACAACATCACACAGACATCACAAAAACAAACATAGCACCTGAGTTAGTTGAATTTCTCTCAAACAATATATCGCTCAGCTAAATTTTCCAAATAATAACTTCAACGACTACAAAAAAGAAAAAAAAAACTACCAACACTAACCTGCAAAATATTCACATCCATTTATCCATCTATTTAATATCATCACCAAACATGCAAACTTCAAATATACAATGTATTTTTTTTCAACTGCTTTCCAAACTATAACCTTCCCACTTTACTTCTTGTTTTTCTTCTCTCTTCTGTGGCTTAAACAAAGAACAAAACACCAAAGAACAATAATACCAACAACATCCACACATCCTCAGACTTATCTAACCAGTCACGCTAAGCATCTTCTCCAAAAAGTTGATTACTTGTCCAACTTCGCCTCATCCATTCTGCGCCCTCTATTCTACTTCTTGCCTTTTTTTTTTTCAACGCAGATACCAATGCAAACCAATGTGCAGTTCAGTTAATCAACTCAGTACCTAAATCTACAAACTTTTCATCCAACAGTGACGATACACATAGCATTCATCTAAGCGGATAGTGAAAGCACAAGCATCTTTTAAAGATGCCAATGATTTTTTTCAAGTTGTTGAGAAACAATTGTGCAAAAAAAAACCTTTTACTCTCCTATCCTATCCCGCCTCGTTTTCTCTTAGTCTTCTTCCCCTTACCCTACTAAAAGACTTCCCATAATCATCAACGGATTTACTCTTAAGTATCTTCCAAAATTATGCACAATCCAGCAACTGCACCTACAATGAGGTATAGAAGTGTCAGGAGAGACAAAAAAAAAAAAAAAATAAGAAGTAGAACAGAGGAGATTAAAACCAGAATATCATTAAAAATAAAAAAATAAAACGAACTTCAATTCTTTTAAAAACTGAAAAAAAAAACAAACACACATAAAAATTTTCCCCTTATTTTCTTATATTTGATTTCCAATTTTTTTCAGCAAACTAAAAGGATGAAAATTTATGATTAACAAAAAAAAAATCATTGGTACCAAAACCAATCTGAACATTAGATTTTTTCAACAAACCAATACAGACGATATATACTCTCAACACAAACACATACGAACATTTTTTTGGGGATAGGTAGAGGGGTGAGAGAAGGAAAACGTGATAAATAATGCTTCATGTAATCTTT